CACAGGATCCACAAAGGGCTCCCTATAATTTTAGATATAAAACTAAAGGTGCGAACTGGGCTTTGTTTGGTTCACTCTTTGCAACTCATACCAAAGACTTCAGTCGCAGTAGTTTATCAGCTGAGGAAAGCGCAGAAATACTATCAGAAACTTTTACATACTGCGCTGATGTAACTATTGGTCGCGGATCTATCACTAACACTCGTAGATGTGATTGGTGGAATGATAGATTAGCCGAACTACGTAGAAGCTACCGGAAAGCTCGTAGAAAATTAAACACTATTAAAAAACATAACGTAACAGGAGATTTGTACAACATTGCTCTCATTGCTCTTAGAGTTGCCAGGTCCCACTACAGAGCTGCTGTGGAAAAATCCAAGGGAAACTTAATTCAGAAACTTGTTAATAAACTCGATAGAGAGGGCCCGTGGTCACCTTTGTATCACGAATTTAAGGCAAATAGATCAATCGACCACGCATACATACAGAACATCAAAATTAATAATAGATATACCACAGGAGTAGAACAAACAGCAGAATATCTTTTAGACTCACTCGTACCTGACGATCGACCGGAAAACGACACTGATCATCACCGACAGATCAGGCAGTGGGCCATCGAACCACCACTGTCTCCAATGTCTGATTTACCATCTTCAGACGAATTTCTCGGTATCATTAGATCCTTGCCGCTAAACAAGGCTTCGGGTGATGATAAAATATCTAACAAAATGATAAAAGAAGCTTGTAAACTTTCGGGTGACACGATTTTCACTGTCTTTAAACGTTGCATTGCTGAAGGAATATTTCCTCGTATATGGCGGTGCGGTAATATTCGTATAATACCAAAAAGTGGCGACAAGCCACCGGATGATCCTAAATCCTACCGACCAATCACATTGTTACCATCGTTAGGAAAGCTTTTAGAACGTCTTGTAGTGCCCCGGCTTCTGCCAGGTGGAGTCAAATTTCATGATAGACAATTTGGATTTACGTTGGGTAAATCGACAACTGACGCTGTTATATCGGTTAGAAAGTTTGTCACAGAGTCAAAATTTCAATACGTGCTGGCTATTTTCTTAGATATATCTGGCGCCTTCGACAACGCATGGTGGCCCATGCTGTTGCTGAAATTAAAATCACGGGGGTGTTTTAAAAATATTTATTCCCTTATCTGTTCGTACTTTTCACAAGGTACAACTAAACTAAGACTTGGTCATCATTCTGTGTCGAAGGCGCTTACAATGGGATGTCCTCAGGGATCGGTGCTAGGTCCATACTTGTGGAATATCGGCTTCGACGATTTTCTTACGATACCAATACCATCCGGATGTACTCTGAACGCGTATGCTGATGACGGCTTATTACTGGTGGAATCTGATACTAGGGCGGGGCTTGAGAGATTAGCCAATAGATGTTTGAACTTGATATCTCAATGGGGTGAACGTAATCGCTTAACTTTTGCACCCAACAAAACCTTCCAGTTACTTTTAAAAGGTAACCTCAAATCACCGCCGAGCATTAGATTTGACAATGTCACTGTAAAAAATAAAACCACAGTGTGTTATCTAGGATTAGTTTTAGAAAGAAACTTTTCATTTATCGAACATATTAAAATAGTTAATGAAAAGTCTAAAAAGAGTTTCTGTGCATTGACAAGGATATCAACTGCGACATGGGGTCTATCATTTAATACATTAAAGATCATATACGGAGCTACTTATTTAGGTTCTATGTGCTATGGTGCACCTGTATGGGCCGATAGGGCGACCGTAGGCGCTGTCCGTCGCAAACTGTTACAAGGCCAACGACTTGCACTGATATTTTTGTGCAAGGCATATAGGACGGTTAGCACTGAGGCTTTGCCGGTGTTGGCAGGTGTCCTTCCGGTCGATCTCGAGGTGCAGAGACGTGCAGCCATGTACTATTCAAGACAAAACATGGAATGCGATTTCTTGGGCGCGCGGGATCGCGGTAAAATTACAAGATTGCTTCAACAGCAGTCCGATGTCTATAATGACCTCATAGACGAATGGCAGCAACGCTGGGACGAATCATCCAAGGGGCGCCATCTTTACCAATTTTTTCCATCTGTTCGCGAACGGTTGTCGAGGACATGGCTTGAGGTGGATCACTGTGTCGCTCAATTTCTTACGGGTCATGGTAACTTTAAGAGCAAGTTGTATTCATTTAAATTAGTCGAGTCACCATTGTGTCAATGCTCAACACCTAACTCTCATTATGAACAGTCTGCTCATCATATCCTCTGGGAATGTAGTCTTTGGTATAATGAACGTAATATAATGCTGAATAGCTTGCAGGTGACATCTGGGGCGGTATACTATGGGGATCTTGTGTCAACTAGGGTGAATTTCCGTGCGTTTAGGCGATTCTGCCATACATATTATAGAAATCAAATATAGCTCATGTAGGACCCGTAATATTTGGTGGCCGTGGTGCTTCCCTGTTTAAAAGGGTGTATGCCTATTTTACTTCATTTTGTCTCCCGCTTTGCTAAGGAGGGAAGTGGATTTACTGTATTTCCAACTCCTCCAATTTTCTTCTGATTAATTTCGTTGCGGGTTCCAAGACAGTTTAATTTCTTCCTGGGACTTCCCGAGTGTCATAACTCGGTGTGTTCGTGGGTCACTGCTGTGGATCCTGGTGTACAGGAGTTACAGTGGTGGGCGTGTGGGTGGGATTAGTCCCAATAAAAAAAAAAAAAAAAAAAAAAAAGGTGTAGGATCTGTCAAATTACTATTACTGTCATTTATTTTCTTTTTGACAGTTCGATTAGTAGCCTAACCCCTTTTCGATTCAAATGAAAAATAACAATCGACCAAGTAAATATGAGCGTAACAATGTAAATAAATAATAAAATTATTTTCTTTTGCAATGATTTCAGAGTGAAAATTAATATTTATTCAAAGATTGGTTGTGGGCCTCGGTTTCCGCATTTAGACTCAGAGTGGTCCTTTATGCGTCGGGGATTGGTTGACTAGGTGAGCCAGCCAAGCTCCTTCCAGAAGCGCAGAAGCCTCCTGGGGCGTTCACAGGCTTCTAGGAGCGACTTTATATCAGGAATGATATTTGATATTTATTTAAAGAAGAGCTATACAAAGATACCAGATGAAACATTTATGTTGCCATAACGCAATATTATTATTTGTCAGCAATGGCAACAAACGCGTATACGGTCTGTCAGAACGCTCTGCACACGAAGGTCCACACACGATTTTGTGTTGTGTCAGACGCTGACCTGCCAACAAAGGCTTCTAAATTAACCCTTGTCGGTAATATCTTACAATGTCAGAGACATCATCATCACAACCATCATCTTGCCCTTTTCCTAATTCGAGGGAGGCGGCGAGGGCGAGGGAGGATGGAGCTAAGGTTGTAAAAGCTAACCCAGCCTGCAGTAGCTTTATAATTAGTGGGTGGTGATGAAAAATACCCGTCCTGTGATCGGATATGCCACGATGAGCACGATCGCAGTAGATCTGTGTAAAAATCGAAGTTTAGCCGTATCGTAGTAGACTTAAAGGCGAATTTTGTTTGTAACAATGCGTCCTATTTACTAATATTATTTATTACACTTTATAGAGTATCAATGACTGATATCGTTGATAAGAAATGATTTGCGTAGTCTAGATCTAGATCTCAAGGACGTAACTGTAACACTATTTACTACAAACTAGGTCAACATTTTATTACTTTTGGGCACAGTATATTTCGGCTCGAAAAAGAGTCACCCTACTCGGAAGGTTATTTTTCTCTCTCTAATAGTTTTTGTATAATATTGTTAGTGGTATTGTGTATACATTAAATTCTATTTAGTAACTTCCTCGTTTAGTCCTTCCCACGGGGAGGAAACCCCGAGGCTAGGATGAATAATAAGCATCTCGAGTTAGGGTTATTTTTGGATTGGTTTTGAGTCCAACAGGGAGCCTATGTGAGTTTTGTTTCACACTAGGCCCCCTTTGACCTTAGAAACGGTAGTCTGATGATAGACAGTGGTCCAATTTTTCACTTTTTAGTCCGATTGTACTATTGTAGGATTATTTACAAACGAAGTCTTTCTAAGCTATATCATATATTTAGATTACACACTTTCAGAACCCAGAACGAGGTAATCTGTCATGCACTACATCCTACAGCAGCAGTAAATCATAACTTCTTTTATCCACTATCAATCTTTTATTAAAATTTCTCTCAAATAACAACAAAAGAAAACACATTCTATTCAATTTCTGTCACGAGACTGTTTAAATTACATCATGGTAGTTTTTATCTAAGGTTTTGGACCGTCACAAATTAATTTGACCTTGTAAGAAAAATATCAATATCTGATTATCGTCTGTAAAAAAAGAAAAGAAAACTACATTTTTTTAAGCTCAAAAATGCAAATGAAATCGCATTTTTAAGCGATATCTTCGCTATTGGTAAACTGATTTAAAAATTCTTTGTCCAATAGAATTACCTGTGCTCAACGCTGGATAAGAACCCGCCTCTAAAGTCGGAAAAGTCAGTGAAATTTTATGCTAAAATTTAATTATACACTCCACTACTTTATAATATAAAAAAAAAGAAATGTTCTATATTTAAATTGACTGAAGATGGACTTTCCATGACACCCATTCTTAAGTCGGGAATAGTTAGTACTCGTTCTTCTTATTTCTTTCTTTATACTCGTACACTACTGGTCCGTGTGGTGACGGATTAAGAATACAGAGTGTCACCACCCCTATTCATCCCGTGGGTGTCGTAAGAGCCGACTAAGGGAAAAAACTAAGCAGGACAACAGCACTGCAGAGAGAAGGAAAACTTGACACAAACCCTTTACCAACCCGTCTGGCCAGCGGGGTATAGTAGGCCAAAACCTCCTTTCTCAGGAGAGGCTTATGTCCAGCAGTGGACTATTAAAGGCTGTTGATGATGAGTACTCGTTAATTTATTCTAATTCAGGTCTGACGAAATCCTAGATAATTATATATTAAAAATTACTGAAACTTACCTTCATAATTGTTATCATCCTCATCATTGACGGAGCTAATCTGGCGGCACAAGTCCTCGTACTCGGCCCAGTAGGCGGCGAGCGCGGATGGATCCGGCGCCCGTGTAGCCATCGGGAGCGCCATGCGAACCTCGGGAGACTCCTGCGCAATAGATAATAAAAGTTTAGAACAGAGTCTCAAATATAAATATTCAAGACTAGCTATTGAGTGATCATTTTTTTATTTCGTGTTTCTAACTTTGAAATGACGAACTTCCACCCCCCTTATTTTACCCCCTTAGGGGTAAATTTTTTAAAAATATGTGTGTGCATTATCTACACGGTAAGCGAGAATGAGATGAACGCTTATGTCTTACAGCCAGGCTAGCTATTTCTTAAAATTAATTTCATAAAAACATTTTCCAACATGGTTATTGAACTTTAAAGACATCAAATTATTTATTAACGTAAGCATTGGTAACAACAGTAACTATCAGATTGTTCATAAAGCATAAAATAGAATGACAAAATACTTTCGCTCCAACTCATAAACATAAGACCATTCTGTATTACAGATTCAAATGCCTGATTGTTTGTTTATTCAATTATAGTCTTTATTTGCATGCGATTATCACTTTACTTAGACTATATGCATTTAGTTAAAAATGAATTGAAGCTAACTATGTAAGACTCGTTCCATATTGTAGACTACGATTACTTGTTAACAACTTGAATATGAAAACGATCTTTAAATCCGGTACTTATATTTTAAGTAACCCAAATAAAACAAAGATGTGCATGAAAAGCTTTTTTTACAGTTTGGCAATTCACGAGTGACACCCTTCAAGTCACAAATGGCAATAGATCTATGGAGGGTAGAGGCAAGGAGAACAATCTCTGCGTATAAAAAGTGTCCGTTTAACGCGTCTAATAAGGTTGGCGCTGCGGTAGCCTAGGATACATTTTAAAGAAAGAGCCAAAAGTTATTAGGTAGTAGGTAGTTGAGGTATTGTATACCTATTGACATTTTACTAACTCTAGTCACGAAATTTTTTAAATACTTGAACTCAGCACACCTCACTCCGTCTACAACAGCTATGTCCATATCGTAGTTTTAGTAAGCCAGCGACCTCTATTTTTAGTAGGCAGCTGGACACTTTCTTAACTTTCCCCCATATGAGATGGTTCTCCTTGCCTCTACACTCCATAAATAGACCGTAGAAACCTGTTTTTTATTAAGTGGGTAATACTAATAATTTGACACATCTTACACACAGTAATCTGCATCCAAACTAGGCAGAGTCATAATCAGGTTGCAAGAAATTTTTCGTCCGAAAGCTTGGAACCTGATTCGGTCATGGTTTGATCGATGCGTCACTATTTTCTTAACGCGAATGGACGATTTACAGAAGAAATAAATATGACTCATCCATACATTTATTTTAAACGTCAAAGTGAGTATGCTTGTTTGTTTGTTACGCTTTCACGCCTAAACCACTAAACTGATTTTAAAAATTGTTTCACCAATAGAAAGCTACATTATCAGCGAGTAACATAGTCTACTTTTTACCGCGATAAACGACTTATACGCGGGCGGAGTTGCGTGCAAAATATAAAATAAACAAGCCTATTTCCGCTTCACATAAAAGATTGCAGCTTTGTATAAAACTATTGTTAAATATAAAGTACCAAAACGATTTCTAAAGTAATCTATCCACACAATTATTAATACTATAACAATGGGAACGATTCCGTTGACCATATTATCTGGGTAAACAATGTGAAATAGGAATTATGAGCCTTGTTGACGAAATACAACATTCGTCAAAATTGTTTCAAAACGAAACACAATGCTTCTTTGCGACACTCCATGCATTTTTGTACTTTTAAGTAACGTTGAAACAGTATTTAATGAATACAAATAATTGGTTCAGAATCATTGACTAAATAACTTTTAGTTTATTACAAATTCATCCTACACTGTATCGTCCTACATAAAGAACCTTAATTCCTACGATTTATGCGTAAAAATCTATTGAAATATATTTTTATTATTGCATAAAACAGCTTATTTTATATGCAATTAAAAATAATAATAACTTCACACATCTAACGCACGGCAGTCTGGTCCCAAACTAGACAGAGCCTGTACTATGGTAACCAGACTGCTGATAAACTATATATTCCTAAATACATACATATGATAGACAAATTACGTGCTCATCACACAATATTTGTCTTGGTGGGAATCGACACCATAACCTCCGGCTTAGCAGCCAGGGTCACTAGCCACTAGACCAACAGGCCCGTCTTCATTCTTTACAGAAATATACATAATTTATTTTTTCATCTACATATAGCTATATCTTTCCCAAGGAGTATCCGTTGTCATGACCTGGATACGTGCTTACCAGGATTTGCGGTTCATACTATGTAGTAAGAACGCTTATATTCTCAAGGAGGTTTGACGTCAGGCAGGTGGCTGACCATCAAAGGAAAAGCTAAAAGTCCAAAACCATTTTGCAATGAAATAAATGAGCGCGTGAAAAAGGATGTCGGGTAATCAATTAAGAAGAAAACTCATTGCACCAACCTCAAAAGAATTTACAAAAAATGTAAACAGATGTTATGATAATTATTCTTCCGACAAGTCTGTTGCGGTTAATTAGAGGGAAAGAAATAACATTTATTAAGGATATGGCCTAAGGATAATAGTTTTAACCTATAAAACTCCTTGAGCGCTCTTTGCAGCGCTCCTGTAATGCGCAATGCCTGCTTAAGACTGGAACAATTCAACTTATATCTTTAAAACCCGATCACATAGGTACATCAATAAATAATAAATATGAAGAACGCAGTACGGATACGGATGCAGTGAACGGTATTATTCTAACTTTGTAGCAAAGCAGATTAAACATCTTTTATCAAAGACCACATTGCCACTGCGTCATTCTTTTAACAGAGATAACTGGGATCTGTAGTAATCCTACCGCATTGCGTCTTAGTCGAAGATAAAAATGTACTTCAAACAAGGTTATAATACAAGGTTACGGTCCAGTCACCCCTGAAGTTAAGTAACTAGAGGGTCAAGTGGATATTTGAGACACATCTTGATGCTTCTAAGCAATGTTGTAGACGGGAACGAGAAAGAACTAAGACTCTTCCGTTCCGAACGATTCGAAAAAGCGCGGGAGAGGAAAATGAAAATCTTCTTCCCTGACGGTGACAGACAGATCTATATCTCGCCCTGGCACTGGCAGTCTCGTGTCGGCGACGCAACATGTTTCATGTGGATCTCTTTAAATTTCTAGAGTTTGCTCAACAGGTGACCAAGTCTGCCGCTGTTTACAGGGATTTCCTTCCTAGGAGGATTTAAAGCGCCGGCTACAGAACTGGATAACGGAACAATATGGGATTGTTCAGTTCTTTTTTCTTTTTTTTTTCTTAAAAAAAGATAACTCCCGCATTAGGAATATATCCTGTGTCGCGGGAGACTTTACAAAGATACATGAAACGGACACAAAGAACACTCAGACTCAGAACAACAATTTGTGGATTACACAAACTGTCGTCCCATGTGGGGTTTGAACCCACAACACTCGGCGCAGTAGAAAACGGCGTGGCGACCGCTTAAACCACTACGACATCCGTGCAGTCAACATATATGTATTTCGAGTTAACGTTTTTTTAACGTTTAGTTCGAGTCTAACATATGTATGGATCCGTTGCAGTGACGTCCCGTGGGTGATCCACACAGAAAAAATAACTAGTGACTTTCTGCAACGGAATAAACGAGACTCTTTGGATGTGTATTATGAATTTAGAAAATGTGCATTCTTTTTACCATAGTGCGCTAGAAGGACAGCCATGTTCTTCAAGTCTTTGTATGTATGACACACTCTGCAGTCTAAATGTCTAGATTTGTCTCGAGAGAGTGACACTGGGTATACCAAAATTATAAAAATTGAAATATTTACGTAATCGAGTTTTTTGTGTTTTTCAATAATGAATATCTCTTATTTTATAATATTTTAAAATAGACTTGTGTAAACGTCATGAACAAAAGTGATTATTTTTATTCGTATGTCCAAATTTATTATAGTAACGTCAAACAGGGATACAGAATATGAGAAACCAAAAACCGTAATATACACAAGTAGGTATTGGTTATTCTCGGATTGTGTCAAAGACCTGATATGAAGAGTTCTTTCTTTGTCTTCTTTGATATGCGTATGCACAGCTGTCATCTTACAACGCATCTGTTCCTATTTCAAATTATTAAAACGCAAAAAGTCATAGATAATTTTATGGCAGTTTTATTTACACAGTTATTCGAATGTTATATTCGTATTTTTAAACGAAGAAAGAACAAAAGGAAGATGCGGTTATTAATTCCGTTATTTTTTTTGTTTGTTACCTCAGAACTCCGTTAATTACGGGCTGGTTTAAAAAAATCGTATTTATTTGAGTGGGTACTTCCCGTTTGATCTCATTTCAGTTTGAATGTAGAATTCAATATTTCACAAGTTTTCATAATGTATATATTTTTAAAGTTAATTATTTTAATGAAAGAATACTACGTAACATTAAATAACTATCCGATAGGTGACGGATTAAAAATACGGAGTGTCACCCCCCGTATGGGTGTCGTAAGAGCCGACTAAGAGAGCAAACAACGCAGAAAACCAGCACTGCAAAGAGAAGAAAAACTTGTAACAAACTCTATACCAACCCGTCTGTCCTGCCTGGTATAGTAGGCCAAAACGTCGTTTGTAAGGAGAGGTATATGCCCAGTAGTGGACTACTAAAGGCTGTTAATGATGATGATGATGAATACTAAATGAGTCATAATAGAAGCATAGTCTATAGAAACTACAACATATAGTATTCGTTTTACTTAGTTTGTAATTTTATTTGAACCTGACGATACACTCCTTACTAGACATGGAAATTATTGCTACGTTTAAATCATATTATTTTGCTGAAATTATTGGTTTTAGTCACAGCGATTTCGCATGTGATTGTGATTTAATCATAGACAAAGATAATTAGCATTAAAATCAATTAAAATCTTTTTGTCAAAGATCACGACCTTTTTTTTTATTTAACCCGTTGCGAATCTTGCATCCTCTGTTACTTAACAGTGGTTTTGTCAGTCACAGGTGGGATGATATGATCTATAAATCATATGATTTATCACATGTGATTGTGATTTTATTCCATCCCTACTCCTTATCAAGATGGGAAATGACCTTCCGCTTCGGGACACATAACATAGACCTACACTGTGTTGCCAAACACTGTCTTTTATATTATAGATCTACTCTTCTTTCTTTCTATACAAATAAATAAAATTGGAGAGTCTGTTTGTAATATTAAATTAACCGCTTTTTACTAAATGCATATGTATGTTTACACGGTACATATTATAAAATAACATTTTTTACAATTTTTGTCTCTCTGTCTGCTTGTTCCGGGTAATCTCTGGAACGGCTGGACCGATTTCGACGGGACTTTCACTGGCAGATAGCTGATGACATAAGAAGTAACTTAGGCTACTTTTTTTAGACTAGCTTCGCCCCGCGGCGTTGCCCGCGGCTATAACAACAAACGCGGGTAACACCGCGGGTCTCAGCTAGTCATTAAATATCATCATTATTTGATCTTTTTAACGTTACGATAAGTTATCACTACAAGTATCAGTCTATGCCACACCCCGCACACATACATCCTTATCAATGACGTAGGCCGCCATTACAAATGCAAGATAACACAAGGCCGTCTTTTATGAAGGTAGTTAAACATCTTATATTCAAGCATTAACATACGACAATATACGAAGGCCTACTTTGTTAGTTTGGTACATGGTAATGACAAAAAAATTACGTTAATGTTTAGTCTTTAAATGTTTTTAATTTTTATTATAAGAACTTTCCTAACGGAACGGACGTAAAGAGGAAAGTTCGTGATTATATTTTGAATACACTAGCAGATTCCTCACACATCACAAAGAATTTATATATAAATATTTCTGTAATATATCTGAATGTCTTTTACTCAATTGTCAATTTTTTCCCCTATTTAAATCTAGTATTTATAATCACTAATTTCTAAAACACACAAAAGTAGACTAAGAGAAAATCCCAGTATGCAATTTTATTTGTGCATAAAGCATCACAAAATGTGTGTGTGTGCAATTCACACACGCCAGAATTTATTCATGCTCACACGGTTATTTACACGATACCTATGCCTAAAAACCAGGTTTTTTTCTGTCTGTCTGTTTGTTCCGGATAATCTTTTAACTGGCTGGACCGATTTTAAGATAATACACTCCTTAAAAAAATACAAAAAAGAAAAGAAAAATAGCCTAAGTTACTACTTAGGCTATTTTTCTCTTCTTTTTTTTTATCTCAGAATAACCCTATAAATTTTTGCCCGGCCCGGGAATCGAACCCACTAAGGCAGCGTTTTTCAAATTCCAGTACCAGCTAGTATTAAATAAAAAGATATAAATACTCACGCTGTCAAAATATTATATCAAAAATAATGTGTAATGTATTCTGTCTCATTCTCTCGCCGACTTAATCCTATACATTTATGTGTTTGTTTCTTTATCGTGACACATTTTCGTTTCATCGAGTTTCAAATCACAACGATCCTAAAGAAGTTTCACTTCAAAAATCAAAAAACTAACAAAGAAAAAGTTCAACTGTCAATAAATCTGTAATATGACAGATGATGTCTCTTAATAATAAATTCACTTCACACTAATTCCATTAGTAATTTAACATCACGTCGGACTTTGTACAAAGTATTTCAATAAGTAAAAGTAACGATAAATTGTTTATATTATCAGAGGTTAATCATCGACGAGGTATGCGGGCCGCACGATGAATGAAATGGCGCCTATACTTGTCATGTCCGTATTTCACACTTAATGCAGATATGGGAACACAACGCATATAACCGACAAGAAATAATACCCAGAAGTTAAAATAACATTCGATTTTGATTTATATTTGGTCACCTTTTTTTTTTTTTTTTTTTTTTATTCCCGTGCGGAAATCCCCTCGGATACCACCTGTCGGTGGCATGTCGGACTCGAACCGACTAAAACCGCACGCCTTCGCCGGGTACTAATAGCCGGGGAACCAGGTATACCCTAGAAAGGAAGGCCCTGGTGCCGACATACCTCGGGTCATCTACAGACGAGTAGACGACCCCCGCCCCGTGTGGGAACCCCATGTTCCCTGTGCTCCCTGGAAGCGAGCGCGCTTCGCAACGCGCTCGCCGCCACCCCGGCTATATTTGGTCACCTATACTAGTTTTAAGCCATGTCTATAACAGTCGACTATTGCAATCTTAGTCTTATTAAACTCATTCGAAAACAGAGGTAACTTTTACTCTATCACTCTCACCCTATTTATCTTTCACCCCAGTTTACTTTTCTCCCGTCTGAAAAGGACTACATACCCAAGGACCAGACGTCAGCCTGACAACCGGCCATAAAAGCAACTTGAATAAACCCTTGCACAGACCTCATGACAAATTGCGAAAACGTCAGTAATATGAACAAAATGATTAGAATGATGCAGTTAGCGGCAATAATGAAAGGAACAGCATTGATTTGATGACGTTTTTTTCTAATAGCTGTCAAAGTGTAAATGACGCAAGAGAATCTAAGCCACTGTTTAATAAAATTTATATATATGTTTGTTACCTTATTAAGTAGTAAGAGGATTGGGAAGCAACAGATGTTGTGTTTCTTCAACATAAAGGGAGAGTTCGGTGAACAGTTAGGGCCGAAGGTAGCTGTTTAGAAGTTGTATCGCGATGCAGGATTAGTGGCACTCCGTAGTTCAGTTTGTCTTCAGTAGATAGTGTTGACGTATGTTTTTATGTGGAAATTGCGACC